CGCCTGCCGCCCCTCCCTGTTTTTCTTCTCGGGCTGTTAGTCGCCTTCCTTCCTTCTCTTTGCTTTTCTCCTCTTACCGGCTACAGGCTGCTCCGTCACTGCTTTCGTTCGCGCCTAGGCTCTCGCCGCAGTTTTATTCTCTCCCCCACGTAACACACCGCGTCAAACTACACCTCCGCCGCGTCACTCACATAACACACACACGCTCTCTCAGGCTCTCCCAGCCCCGGCGACAGGCAGGCAGCAGCGGCCGACTGCGAGGGAGAGAGAGGAGCCAGCCAGGGAGCAAGCGCCGCCGAGCATGCCTCGGCTCTCCTCCGCCCCCGCCCCGCGCACGCCCCCTCCCTCCTCTCCGCGCACGGAAAGAACCGAACGGCCCCCACGGAAACGCCCGAAGGGGCTGAGCGGCCGCGGCGGAAAAGAACGACCGAGAGACTGCCCGCGAACGGGCGCGGAGCGAGGGCGGGCGCCTGCGGTTAAAGCGGGAACGAGCGCGCAGACATTTTTAGCGGTTCAGTCCGACCGAGAAAGCGCAGGTTTGCGTTCCTGATCCAAGAGGAGGGCAGGACTAAGAGAAAGAACACGCCTCCCGGGCTGCTTGTTTTCTTGGCAGAGGGGAATGCCCCTCGTTTGCCCGATAACCCTCCGCCCCTCCCGTGGCAGCCGAAACAGAGGCTGTGTGTCAGTGCCAGGGGCACAAATTTCCGAAAGGAGACGAGCAAATCCGAAGACAGCAAGAGGCCGCCCGGCGAATAAGGCTCTTCTCTCTCGCCGCCTCCTCACGGAAGCGGCCGAAGCTGTTTTGACAACAGGAAGGGCAAAGCCGGGGAGAATTTAGGGTAAACAGCCAGGCGGGCGGAGGGGGTTCGCGGTTCTGCCTGGGGGCAATCCGAGGCTCTTGCAAAAGCAAAGTGGAAATGCGAAACGCAAACTGCGAGAAAATGCTTGACCATTAAAAAAAAAAAAAAGGAACATGGTTGCACGTAAGAAAATAGAGAAAAAATTCTTGGTAGGAGGAGAGCCGTGTTGGTGTAGGACGTGTCTGGTAGCACCTTTTCCGTTTTATTAATTTTTATAAAATGTATCTTTTAATTTTTTATTTTTTAAAAATGATTTAACATTTAGCAAAATGTGTTGGAAAAGATGCTACCGGACTCCTGCTCATTCTCGAATGCCTGTTTTGGGATGAGAACCGAGAATCTGGTCCAAATCGAGACAAAACCCATTTTGTTTTGCTGCATTTTGTTTCATGCTGTTAACTGTTTTAATTGTATATTTGGATATAGGAAGGTGTCAAGAGTCTTATGGAGTGGGCAGCCATAATAAATTTGATAAATAAAAAAATAAAAATAAAATTCAGATACTCTTCTAAATAACCTTTGTTTGATTCATTTACAAAATAATAATAAAATGAAGACTGATTATATCTGGGAGAAGGATATTCCCCAAAGCAGGCACAGTAACAGAGAAGCAGCACATGCAAACCTCCATCCCCTTAACCTTCTGAACGTGGGCAACCGCTGAAAGGCTCTCATTCCCCTTGGGCAAGTGGAAACCATGTAGGGTTTTAAAGGACAGAATTGCACTCAGAACCCACTAGGAAGCCAGTGCAGGGCTTGGACCATACATGTAATGTGCTCATACTAGTGTGTGCCAGCCAACAGCTGGGCTACAGTATTATGGACTAGGTGGTTTTCAAACGCACCCCTACATAGAGCCCATTGCAGAAATCCAGGCAAGTGGTGACTAGGACATGCGTCGCTGTTACAAGGTCCTCATGTTCCAGAAAAGGCTGGACCTGGTGCATCAGCCAAAGTTAGGCAAAGGCCCCCGTGGTGTTTACTTCCACCTGGCTACTTAGCAAGAATTATGATTCCAGGAGGTTAGGAACTGGCTCCTTCAATAATAGTACCGTCTCATCAAGAAGTAATATTGGAGATGTCAATAACTCAGCTTTGGCCCATTTTGTCCCTCAGCTTCTAGGCACTGGAGCTTCTCTTATGAAGCCCGGGGTAGTGATATACAGCTGGATATCATCACCAATTGATGATACCACACTCCAAACTGATTCATTATTTCCCCCAGCAGTTTCATTAAAGATATTCATGTAGATATTAAAAAGTAAGGGAGAAGTAGAGAGTCAGGGAAACAGCCTTGAAGCAAATATTTAGAAACAGTTTATATAATCAAAAAGGACAGAAGCATTTCTTAACACTTGGGAAGGGAGAGACTTAAGAAAAAACTTAGGCTAACTCCTCCTGACTCACTGAGGTATAAGAAAGAAGAAAAGCACAATCAGACTTGCAAGATTCTGTTATTATAGCTTATATCAATAAAGTATAGTTCTAGTCTTCCTATGGAGTCTGTTTCCTGATCTGGTGTACCTCAAAAGGCTGATAGGAGAAAGGCCAAGACCTGGCATGCTCCACAAAGAAGAGGCTGCTTGGCTGATCTCTCCATTCCCATAATTACTGACTTCCCACTGAGGAAGGAGCAGAATCACTGAAAAATGGTGTCTTCAATTGTTAATCCTTACTTTTTGTGGTAGTCCAGAAGGATAGCATGCTTGGTAGTACCAAAGCTGCTGAGAGGTCCAGAAGACCCAGGAGAGGTACACTTCCTCCATCCAGGTCATAACAAAGGACATCCATAGGAGTGACCAATGCTGTCTTGGTCCCACACCTAGGCCAGAATCCTTACTGTAAAGTACTGAGACAGTGTAGAGGAATAAGGAGATAACCTTGAAGAAGGAATACAAAAATGGTCAAATAAACATTAACTTGGCCCTGGGAAATAAGAAAAGGTGAAAAAGAAGCTCAAGATAACTCTGTCTTGATTCTCTTTGGTATAAGAAGGGCAGACAGAAACTGTCAGGCTTTCAAGATTCTGTTGTTATACCTTACAACAATACAGCCCCAGTAGTCTTTGTGGTGCCTGTTTCCTGACCTGACCTTGAAAGGCTGACATCAGTCTTGAAAAGTTCCCCAGTCTTTATTCAGAGAGGCACTGAAACTTACCTGTGTTCATCAAGATGGCATCAGATCCTTGAGGTGCCACGCTGTCAGCAAAAACCTTGCTGAAGCTTTACAAGTGTTTATAGAACGTTCATAGTAGAGGACACAAGCCCACTATCTCAACGTTTAAATAAAGGATGTAAGTTCAAATGATTTACTCAAGAGCAAGCAGCACTGTAAGTCTTAAAAGTACTTTTTTTTCCCCAGCTGCCACTCAGATGTCCTGTTATCTCTTGAACTTTTTTTGTGCAAATAGACACATCAAATAGCATTAGGAACCAATCTCTTCCAAGCTTCGAAGATGGGAGCGAGAAAGAAGCTCCTCCATTTGCCTTTTATTCCAGATTGCTGCTCCCAGCTGAAAAGAATGATGATATTTTCAATAAAAAGTTGCTGGTAATAAAAGCAGCATTCCAAAATCAGGGACATTCCTTAGAGGGAACAATCTACCCAGTTCAAGTGTGTGTGGGTCACAGAAGGAATGATCCCTCAGGCCTCCTGAAATCAGGTGGCCCACTTTTTTCCCATGTCAGTTTTTATATCATGTATATTCCTGGCTCACAGAACAATATACCAGATGTACTATCACATAAACTGAATATGATATTCCATGCTCATCTATCCTATCATGATTCTGAAACCAAGCCACTTTGCCCCCCATGATTAGACCTTCCAGAAAGGTTGGAAGCAGGGAGACACATAGTACATCTGCTATGTAGATTAGATTGTAGTAGCAACAGGATACATATGTCAAGGCTCATATGGATGACCTCCAGGGTGCCCACAGACTGATCCTTTTTCTTTATAAATTATCGACAGTGGTTTCACAATGGCCATTTATATGTTCCCATTCCTTTATGGGAAGATGTATTGCAACTCTGCTGTGAGAATAGAACTGGATGCAGGGGAATGTTTAAAATTTTGCATTGAATCATCAGAGTTCTAGTGGCTGAAGATGACAACCAATATCAAAGGCTATCTTTTACCTTGTCATGTTTATCACTGGTTCAAGATGGTTTTTGGAAGGCTGGCCAGTTTATTTCAGCCCCTTCTTTCATCAATGGGACCATGAGTTCCTGTTTCACTGGATTTTATTACTGGTTTTCCCCCTGTACAGGGTTACACAATAATTTTTGTGATAGATGGTCTGTTTACCAAGATGGCTCATTTTATTCCTTGCAAGGGCCTTCCATCAGCTCAGGAGACTGCACAATTTTTATAGATCATGTTTTTAGATACCAGGGGGCCTTAGTAAATCATGTGCTCTTAGATCATGGGTCTCAGGTTTTGGAAGGCCCCTTTCCAGGTATTAGACATTCAGTTTCATTTGTCATCCTCAGATCATCTGGTTTTAATGGATAAATAGAGGGAATGAACAATTGTTAGTACTTCAAGTGCTATGTCTCTTCTCAGCAGGACAATTGGACTGAACTGTTGCCTCTTGCAGAATTTACATATAACTCCTCAATATATGTTTCCCTTTCAGGCAGTCTATGGCTATTTCCCCCACATCTTGCCAGGATCTTCAGGATTCCAGAATCTGCGGTTCCTCACAGCTCAGACTTCCTGTGGGAGAGGCAGGTTGCTCAGGCCATCTTAAAGGAACAGCTAGATTTGGTAGACTTCATACAAATGGGTTGTAGATGCTTCAAGGTAAGGGGTGCCAAGATTGTGGTGGAGGATTTGAACATTACTTCCCAGTAAGTTTTCACCTTTTGCCTGCCTATCTAAAATACTAGACTCAGTTTATTGGCCCCTTCCCAGTTACTCAGCAAATTAACCCAGTGATCTTTTATCTGCAGTTGCCTGCCTCAATGAAGATTTATTCGGTAAATCGGTCAGGCGCTACTTGTTTGTGAGAAGCCTCCCTGCCTCTTGCATTCTATAACTGTTCCTCTCTCCTCTACCCTTCCATCTGCTCTGTTCTGGTGGAGGAAGAAGAATACAAAGTGGAATGTATTCTGGCTTTTAGATGCAGAAGGAAATGTTT